TACTTATTTTGTATCTTACACATAATGGGTCAAAGTTGCACAGCAGTTCTGAGGCTAGTAATTCAAAGCTTCCTAAAGGCTTTAAATTTATCATCATTTAAGTTATCTTATAGAGGACGCACTAAATTATACGCAAAGTACCTCTGTATAACAGCATAACCTGTCATTTATACTTAATTCTTATTTCTCACCTTTCTAAATCTAATCCTTTTTTGTAGGAAACAGCTTTACTACTAGTGTCACTTGCTACTGAGACATTATTGCCATAAGATCTGTCAAATTAAATCAAATAATCAGTTTAAAATATTTGTCAAAGTATATGAAAGTCACCTCTGCATGCACTCTTTTAAAAAGTAGAAGGCATTCTTACCTACACAGAAAAAGCCTGACAGAAATCATTATTGGTCTTTCCACAGAACTTGCAGTGTTCTGACACAGTAAAACCCATTGTAATAAACTAGTAAACATGGAATAAATACACATGTGGAAGAGGATATTATACTTAAGAGAGCATTCAAAAGCACTGCATACCCTTGTTTTCATTCCTAACATTTTTTCACTACAGGTCATCCTTGACTCACTTTCCATAAGAACACTGTGAGTAACTGAAGGGCTCACAAAATTCAGAACTACTTTCTCTACTCATGATACATCTGTTTTTTTCAGGTATTTTTCTGTCCTAACACAGACACTATTGAAATAATTTATCTTCCCAAAAAGCATCCTGTAAAAATAGTGGCATATTCACAATTGCATACTTGCTTCAACAGTATCCTACAAACAGACCAATACCATACCTTTTATGAGAAGGCCAAATGCTAGGAGGACAGCGTTTCATACTGAACATATAAACTGCAGCTTCAGCAGTAGTGAAGAGACGACAGAAACACAGAAAAGAACAAACTACAACAGCAGACGCTGCTCTTCCATCCTACAAAAAAAAATTGTAACTTTGTTATTAAACCTAGTGGAAAAACATTACAGAAGTTACTGAAGAACACACTATCTCCTCATTTAAGGAAACCAAAGGTCTAGTGTGATCATTAGATTTGAAGTTTGTATCTGAGAGTGATGTGTTCTCATTTGATTCCCACAACATACAAAAGATTATCTATTATCTGCTTGCTCAAATGCGGATAATTGCTTTAGCTTAACACCATTTGAAATTTTCAATTGATGTTTACTACCTCACTATTACTAATACCCATTTTTGTTTCCTGGCTGCTATCTGAAATCCCAGTTCAGTGCTATTTCTGGCTGAAAATCATGGACTTCCGCTACAAGAGAAGTCCTAAGATTCAGAAGAACTAAGACACTAAACTCTTCAGTCTTCTGACTAAAACTGCCTGAGATTAAAAGCTTGCCACAGAACCAAGAGAAAGAAATTAAAACACAGAACCTCTTTCTGTAGGGACCAGGGCTACACACATCCCAGGTTTACTCCTACATTATAAAAGGCTGAAGATTCAGAAGAGGTAATGGTTGACAGAATAAGACCTCTCAAGTCTTTCGCTAGCAACATGGACCAGAATTTTTTGTAGTCATTTGGTGTGAGTGTTGAAGTAGGGAGGAAGGAAATGTTTCTTCTCAACTTGTTTTAACAGGTATTTCCTTCAGACTCAGGCTTCTATTCTACCCATCAGTTAGGTCAATGAGAAGGTCTGCCAGCACCATAAGAGCCAGATCTTTAAAGAGTAGTTCTGCAATATTATTACTGCTAGTATAACTAGCAAGCCTAATGATTTCTAAAAGTGACTTCTAAACTAGTCTACGATTCAACAGGCTGGGCACTGCCTTTCAGTTAAATTTCACACAGATATAACAAAAACATGGTCCCTACCCTGAGACACCTAGACTTAGGACAAAACATTAATGAATACAAGGGAATAATGGAAAAAACACTGATCGACATGACAAGCAGTAACCTACGTCTAGCATGACACTTGCCCTGCAAAGCCACTTCCAAATTAAGGCACCACACCAAAGGGAGAGAAACTGTTGTACAAAGAAGCCAGCAAGTCACAGTAAACTCTTTGTAACTGTGGCATGAAGTCAGAGGACAACTTTACAAGACTGTAAAGACCACTTTACAACCAGAAACACAGTATGCAAAATAAAGAACATCATCAGTAAACAAATCTGATCATAGAACTTTGCAGTTCAGAAAGAAGCTTGATAAGTTATAGAACAGGAGCAAAAGAAACTCTCATAAGGAGACGAGACAACAAGAATTTGAATTTTTTTCCTTGTATGTTTTTACAAGGATGATGGATCTTAGCTACAAAAATAAAACAATCCTCAGGCATAAACAATCATTAAGGCAACAATAAAAAACAATTGGAAAAAGCTAAATTGAGCATAAATTTTGTCCCAGAGCCTCAAAAAGTTAGATAGGGGAGCTCTGTGTCTAAGTGTTTTGAAAAGAAATAACCTTCAAAATATAAATTCAACTTTTCCTAGTGTGTGTATAATTATCTTAACTTGGTTCATTTAAACACAGGTCAAATACAGCTATCTGAAGGAACACTTAGTACACTTAAAGAGCTGCAGCATACCCAGTTGCAAGTCTCTTTGCCATTAAGTTCCATCAAGATGATCCTTTACTCACACATCAAAGCTGTGCAAGTTTTCAAAAGCAACCATTGCTGCATGGTCTCCAATAATTAGAGCAGTATGTTATTGCAGATGTCCTGGAGATACTCCAGCCTCTGCCATATGTGCTACAGTCTTGCAATACCAATGGAATAGGATGCCAGTTAAGAACAGATTCCAGCCATTGCCAATCCAGAAAGACTTAACTGTAGCTGAAGCAAGAAGCTGCCATTTAAGCCTCATTTTCAACTGCTAGTTCTCAATTGGATCACTCAAATTACAATGTCGAAATTTAACAATTCACTGCATTATACAAACTTCTACAGTAAAGATCAGGAAGCCCTAGCTGGTTTTGAATCCCAGCCATCTAGAGGCAGTTTCACCTTTACAAGAAGCAACTCATGTTTTCTTATCCAAGAAAATCTTATCAGACAAAACCACTTTATCTCTACCAGATAAAGCATTTTTTCAACATAGATTTCCTAGCTTTTTAAATCTATAAAAATTTCCAGCTAGATGAATCCAAGACACATACTGCAGCTATCATTCATTTCTAATAATCCTGGTGCACGCTCTTTGCATCACATCTGGCATGCAGCCTAAGTCAACAAGCTTCCCTCACAGCTGAGGAAAAGAAATGAGTTATATACCTTAAACAAAACACTTCAAGTGAAAGACATTACAAACACTGGTGCTAATTCAACACATCTGCTTCTTACCTACTTGACCAGCAACCATGTGATACTGAGATACTGTAAGTATCACTTCAATGTAGAATTAGATTCCTAACCTCACAGCAGCACTGAAAATCTCTTAGGTTTTCAGGAGCTGGCATTAACCGAATTTTTTCCTTACAAAACTCTGTTTAAGGAAGTACACTTTGCCAGATTAACAAATCCTCTTTTAGACTCTGATAGTGATATTCCATGTAGACTACCATACAATATCAAAGGACCATTTTGAATTCTTTCCAGCAGTATCATATACATTGTAACAACTGTCATGTTTCTTTTTACTGTGCAGGAAAATAAGAATGTCAAAGTTTCACATGCAATTCTCTTACATGAACATAACAGTCATCTCATGTTTTCAAATCCTGAGCATAGTAACTACTCCTTAAATTAATTTCTTCCCCCATGTCTGACACGAGGTGATTCCTTATGGAGAGTTTTGTTGCTTTTTTGGTTTTTATCAACGTTAATGATACATCAGAGAACAGTGGAAGTTACACAGCAATCTGCTGCCAGCAAAAGCAAGTTCAATCAGAAGTCTCATAGTCAGTTTCTGCAATTCTGCAGATACAGACTACAATCTAAACCAACAGTAGTGGGAAATGCAGTGTTCACCTGACTGTAACTCAGAAAACATTAACAAAAGCAGAGCAAGCACTGAAATAGTAGAGCAGATTTTTTTTCCCCAAAGGCTACTTGGCCTTAATCAGTCCCATATACTGCCTTCCATGCTACATGGAAGTAAGCAAGGGCTATATTATCCTACTAATTTGCCTAAGGAGAAGATATATGCAAATAACTTTCCTAAAGACATAGCACAATGGAATTTCTCCCAGGTGTCACAGTAAATAAAGCCAGTAAAATTCACAAACTGAGTGGATACTGGCATCCTTATTCACAATTTAAAGCTGGGTTGAGCAAAGCACTTCGGACTTAAACCAATTTCTTACAAGGCAGTGCACAACGCAAACATTTTTCTGGTCTTGCTTCAGCCATAAATGCATGTTCTTGCATATGCTATAAAGATTCTGAAGATTTGGTGCTCGTCTTGCTGGCCAGCCACATTCAGAAACCTGCAACAAGAGAGACAGTAAAGGCAAGAAACAAGATTACATAGTCACATACATTCGCATAGCATAAGCTGTGTATATAAGAGGCAATTTTACACTTTAATGCCACCTTCAGGCAGAAGTCAAGCAAGATGCTCAAGAAAAGTAGTCTCACACAGTGTAAGCACCACTTTATACAGTGAAGTGCAGTAGAATTCCAGTCCTGCCTATAGTCTGCTGCACCAGAAGTACCAACAACTCATATTTCTATCTGAAATTTTCTGAGAGCAAGGAATAAAGCAAAGCAGCTTTCAACTTGATTTGTGCACATATTCTTAAGTAAAAAAAGGCTTGGTTTGCTTTTATATTTGTCCTTTATTTAAAGGGCCTCAATGGTTAAATAATACTCCATCTGCAATTAGCACTACAAAACACTACCAAATCGTCAGCTTCGCTGCTGAGAGTCTATATTCTTAAATTAAGCTGTCCAGTTAGAATACAGTGTATGAAACCTGATCCTTGAGCACTTGCAACACCTGAAGAGTAGATGTTCTGCCAGGACCAAGCAAGCAACTTAGAAAGCAAGCTTTTTCTGTTTCTTTTTAGCCAGGACTACAATGGCTGAATATGGAAGACCAATTCTTGCTATTAGCGACATGTTTTATTACCCAGATAAGATTGTTCAAGGGTTACTCTGAGATTAATTACCTGAACTGAGTATCACAAAAAATTCTCAGAGACTGTTTTTGTGCCAAGCTCAGGTAAAAAGGCTGAAAGAAAGTCTGACATACAAAGCCTCCTACAGGTTTTCACTATATTCCAGTATTTTAATTTAAAAAAGAGGGCGGTTTCAGAAAGCATCATTTTGTGAGAGACTTAAATTGAATGTGTGAAAGTTAGCTTATGTGGAGTCTCCACTGAATGAATTAAAGCTAAGGCAAAGTCCTTTATATTCCTGTTCATCACAGGATTAAATGTCCATTTCAGTACATCTCAAATATTACAACAGTAGCAAAAGAAACATCACAGCATTACAACTACAAACCAGAAAACAGTCTAGAAAAGCAGGTGTATTCAAGAAAAGCAAAAAAAGAACTGACTTTTTCCTGATTTACCATTTACTTTCTGCTCAAACACTATCTTTGTTACAAGATGCGTAGCATACAACATTACCTTCTTTCCCTTCGCTATGTTTTAAGTTCAAAATATTCTGATCATTAGCAGAATAATGGAGAGTGCACAACCTCTCAGTAACCTATTCCAAGCAGGACTTGAAACTAGCAGAGAAGACTTAAAACCACCATTAACTTTCACCAAGGTTAAAGCAATTTGTAAGAGTTCCATGCAGACAGTATACAGCAAGAAAACAAGAATAAGTAATTTCATAAATACCTACTAAGCAAAGTGTCAGAATTAAGAATTTCAGAAGCTGTTCTCCTCTGATCAAGTTTAACGCTTGCCATCATCATCTTTTGCAGGCACTAAAGAAAAACTAAGCTTCCTTAGCTTCCTACGTGGCCGCTCTCACCCAGCACTGAACAGTGAAGTTACATGTCAGTGTTGCTCATTGTGCATTTTGATTTCAAAGATGGACAGGGAAAACTTCCAATTTAAAAAGTTTGTTTCAAGTAAAATAGCTGTCTTTGTTTTTAAGCAGAAGACCATATTCTGTAGAAACCTCCTGAAGACCATATTCTGTAGAAATACTCCCAGCCAATAAAGTGGGCTTTATCTACAATTTCTTAGTGTTTTGACAAGTTATGATTTACTGTTACTTCCCAGCAAAACAAATACCATAAGACAAAATGAATATTGAAGAGATAAATGTAGATCAGAAAAATTACAGATCATTGGTAGCTTTAGCTGTGCTTATATTACCATTCACAGTATCAATACAATAGGAATATCACTGTATAGACACTTCAGACTTGCATAACCAACAAGCCATCCCCATGGTAAAAAACTTCCAAGTCACAGAACTTATCATTCCATAAACAGATCAATAGCTCTGTAGGATGAGGAACAAATCAGTTCACTTCACTGTGTCAGTCTCAGTGAAACTTTCCAGCCATCTAGCACTAAAAAGCATTGCTGAAGATTTTGCTTTGAGGTACCTGCTCCAAATAGTCATGCAGGAAGTTCCCTGCATGATTAAGCTTTGCCTTCTATGTTGAACAGCCTCTGCCTGAACCTCATACTGAACCAGATGCAGACAAAGAAGTTGATTTGCTCCACCCAAAGAGGCTGTAATTGTTTTTTTCAGCTGTGGCAATACTTTGTCTTGTCTACAAGTTTACAAGGAAACAAAAGGAAAGAAGTGACAAGCACTAAATAGAATACATTTAAAATACCTCAGCCTGACAGTTCAAGTGAACTTGGATAACTGATGTAATGCTAAGGATGGCTCTGCAGTATAAGGCCCAAACGAGGTTTCCAGTAACAAATAATGCTTCTGGACTCTCCTCTGGGCAGCCAGTATTGTGGGGAAAGGGCATGATCACTGCAGACTAGGTCCTTAGGTGAGGTCTAACATGCCCAGTGCTAAACAACTCACAGCACACCGACAGTCTCCACTGTTGCATTACTTACGGAACAGTTGAGGTGTACTTACAAGCAAATATTAAGTCAGTCGTCAGCACCTAACAAGCTGTCCTCACTACTTTGTTACTGAATTAGGCAAATGTCTTCATTTCAGTATCAGAAGAATAGCTAGAAAGGCTCACAGAGGCTTAGCTAAGCTATACCACTATTTCAGGCAGTAGCCACAAGCAGTCAGCTAGGGCTGAGCCATATGGGAGTCAAATGCTATATACTGGGACAAGGAGAAAGTCCAGTAAACGGCTTGTGCAAATCAGTCACCAAAGGAGTATTACCTTTGATAAAAGAAAACCTAAATACAGGAGAGATTGCAATTTTAGTAAGACTTAAATTATGTTAAGTATTCTCCATTTAAATTTGAAACATGTAAGGTATCTGTACGTGTTTTCAAAGATACCACTAGCCTAGGAAACAGACTTTAGTCAGTAAGATTAGAGATTAGCCTTTAACCAGTTAAGTTTGAATTGAAAGTAAAGACAAGCAGAACACAAGTTACTCTTTGACCTTATGTTTATAGTTATTCTTTTGTGATCTTTTTCATTATGCAGCCTACTTTTTTTCAGAATAAAAAGCTGAAGGTGTAATTAAGACATTGAGTGGAAAGACCTTTTACAGAAATATACAAGAACTATACACACCCTATTATGGAATCTTGAAGGCCTGTATGTTCTTGAAGAGAGATTGTACACAGCATAGTGGCCAGGATGTCTAGAGTCCAGACATAACCTCACATCTTCTATGTTATTTTTGATGGCAGATTCTACACCTTCAGCTGGAAAGGACATCACTGAAGACAGAACAAACACATACCAGGTGAAGCATTCATTTTTTTCATATATTAGTAACAATTAGCAATTATTCTTAAGACAGACATAGCTATCATACCAGCAATTCTGGAAGTGATGTATGATATATCCAAGTCTCCTTTTGCATAACTGAAACAGAACACACAGGAGTTAATACCGGGAATCAGAACCACTCAAGCCCTAAGTTTAAAACCCAGCTCCCTCAGGCTACACTCACCACTATGAACAACGTCTTATTTCTTCTATCTGAGGCTTGTTACCTCACACTTCAAGGTCTTCAGAACAGAGTTTTCAGAATTGTGATTGTATTTGAACAGTTATTCGTTTACATCAGTTTCAACAAAACCATCTCTAGGTATTTTGTACAGATGTCTTCAATGTTTAACTCATTCCTCTAGCCCTTACTCTTACTGATAAGCTTTCATTGCAGGTATCAGTTTGAAACTCTGAGGATGCATTAACATTTTCAATGAAGGATATCATAATGCTTAAAACAAGACCATTTGTTGAAACATTACACTTTAAATGACGTAACTCTGGCATATTACTATCTGGCCAAGATGGCCATGCTGTCTAATTTTGGGATTCCATATGAATACAGGGTACTCGAATCTCTTCCCTCATTTAAACCATGCCTCTAGAAATTGACTTCCTAAACTCCCATAGTGAGCACAGCATTAATCATTACTCATCTTCATATAGTTCAGCACAGTTTTAAAGAACACCCTTTTGCATAATAATCTTCCAAGGATTTTTTTTTATTTAGGTTCATTCCCTTCATCTCCACCTAATCAGCCCCATTACGTCAATAATTTACTGGTTTAAGACCAAAATTATTTTTTGTGTTTCTAGAGTATCTGCTGTGTAGCATGATGAAAAGCTTGAGAAAAAGACTGAAAAGCACCAGCACAGGCCAACATCCTTGAGTATAATCTTAGGTCTGCACTCCTGATTGGCAAAGTACGAACAAACCTCACCTACAGAATTTGGTTTAGACATCTCTAGCTTAAAAAAAAATCAGCAGTGTATTATGTCCAGAATATCAAAATGTCATCACAACACTATGATGCATGTTTAAGGAATGCACAGGCACTATCAAAGCAGTGCTTTTATATCACTATAGTTTCAAAACACTGCTTGAAAGAGCAGACCTAGGATACCACACAAATTTTGAAACATCAAGAGAACATTATGCTTTGATTCCTTACTGCTTGCTAGTAAAATGAAGGAGGCTGGAGGGATTGATTAAAAGAGTATTGAAGTTACAAGGACTGGGAGGAAGATTTCAGATACAGCAAGAACAACTGTTCTTAACATGAGGACATTAAACAGTATTTATGTGGAATGACAATCAGTGTCCTAACAACAATAATGATGCAAGGTCAAGAGAAATTGAAATCACCACAAGGAAGTTTGACAGTCTCACTAGACAAAGCACTAAAAAACTCACCCTGGAAAAGTCTTGCATAAGGAGGCAGACAAAATGGCCAAATAACACTACTTCAAAATTCTCTGCACCTTTGGAAGGACATAACTTCATCATTTAGCCCAAGTGGTAATACTGTTGCAGCCAAATTAAGGCAGAAATTCACAGAGCTAATAATGATTTCTTACTAAAATGAATGATGAGCATAGTCCTTTACAGGATTGTGAAGCGTCAAGTGTTATTTGTTGCTTACATGCACCAGCTTCGAGAAAGAAAACATGTAGATCATTCTAATGATATCAAATTTTTTAGATATCAAGACAAAGAAACACCTAATATGATAGCCTGAGAAAGAAAGAATCATTAACTCTTCAATGCCATAACATGGAGGCTAGGCAGCAACTTGAAAGAGCAAAAAAAACAGTCCTCACACCCACTCCTTTGGAAATATTTTCAGATATTGAATTCTTACTAGCAAGATCACTCAGTCCAGCTTTGCTTTTTACATGTCTAAATTAAAATGCAACATTATTAGGAGTACAGATCTCACCATACACACATTGCTGAAAAGTACAACCTGGTATGTCGACAACAGCACAGCCAATTCAAGCTTGCTGATTTGCAGGGAAAACCTGGCCCTGTCCTGGTGCTTCAGGAAGTAAGGTAAAAATGAGACAGACTTGTGTAGTTACAGGATCTCTTGAAGTGTCCTGGGTTTGCCTTGTTAATCACTTCTATAAGGTTTCCTGGGCTATTCACTAGATATGTGCATAGAGAGGCAAATGAGGACATGAACTGTTTCCAATTAACTTTTCCTCTTCACAACAAAGCAGACTTCATTTTCTCATAGGCAACAGCCTGAAAGTCAGAAGCTGAAGCAGTATGTAACTCTTGTGAAAACAAGTAACAAGAGATGGCTGTATTCACAGTTGATCCTTAGTTGTTTCCTGTGTAGAAAAACTGTACGCTACTTTCATCTTTTGCGTACAGGCAGGGCCTTGATAACGTTACTGTGTAGGCATCAAGTATGTTTTCTGCATATTTCTGAATGATCTTTCTTGCTTCTTTTAATAAGGAAAAATCTCCCAAGGAAAGACAGGATGACCAGGTGATCCGGCCCAGTGAGCACAGGTTTATGAAAGGTGTTGGGTCATAGCCAGCCAAATATGAGCCAGCAGTGTACCCAGGTGGGCAAGAAGGTCAAGGGCACAGCAGCATCGCAAGTGAGAGACAGATAAGCTGAGCAGAGGTAAGTTGAGGCCACATACCTGCAGAATGAGTTATCAGGCACACACAGGTATATTCGCTGGAGCAAAGTTCTCTTCTAGGCAGATGCTGCCCTGCCATATCAGACCCCTTCACAGAGCAGTGCATATCTGGTCTCAGTGTGTATACACCCTAGTACTTCCTTCTAGATCAGTTTCTATCAATAGAGGGCTGAAACTCTGTTGCTCTGTGTTCTCTCTCACATAGCTACAAATCACTTCTACCTGACCTGAATCAGCAACAGAGATTGCAACACCTGCAAGTGAGGTGACCTGGGAGACAATCAAGATGGCCCTCATTCACTCACTTTCTAGTAGCCTGACATCTGGTTTAGTTTTCAAACTTTACCACTTATTAGGATAAACACAAGACCAAAATTTTAATTAAGATAGAAGCAGCTATGGGATAGAAAAAAATAACCTTTTGTAGCAATCACAAAACACTAACTTTTCCACTGTAGGTAGGATTCAGTGAGAAATAAGTTCATCTGAATGTAAAGGAAATAACTCCACAATTCAGAAAAGCAATGTTAAGCAGGAAGGAGAGAATCTGCCTAATGAGATGACAGACTCCAACACGAGGAGTGCTTTAGTATGGTGAGGAAAATGTACAACAAGAGACATTTTAGTTTGTCCAGAATGCCTGCTTCTGATGTTGGTTGCAGAGTTTTGGAAAGGCAGTCAAGGATGCAACAGTAGAAGAGGTGTTTTCACATGCCTGAAGATATCAGCTGTAGCCACAACACAAGTTTGTAAAGGCAGAGAATGACCATGACAGAATCAAGTATGTCCTATAGTAGATGCAAACAAAGAATTAACACTTTGGCTTGGTTAAAGCATAAATAGTCTAAGAATGCACAAGGCCAGTGGTGGGATTTTCAGCAGCACAGTGAATGTTTAAATGCTAAAGAATCTGAGACTATCCTAGGTCCTGTGTAACATTAAGTATTGCTCATGTTAATTCATGTTTTGCCATTTCAGTGAACTGTTAAACACAGTTAAGATTCAAAATACACGATAGGCTTATCAAGAAATGAAAATTATAGCATTAAGGATCACTAAAGAATATTAGCAAATTACAAGTGGAAAGAGTTTCCCCTTCAATACTGATTAAATACTATCTGGAAAATAAGTGTTGAAGAAACTGGCTCTCACTAGCATAATTATGTACTTGGTGCATTCCCTCCTTTTCTTTCATTCCCAAGCCAATGACCAAATTCACTTGGATAACATAAGAAAACAAAAAGGCAGTTGTATGAAGACAGAGGGTTTATGTTAGCACAGAGCTCAAACAGAAATCTGACAGTCTCACACACTCTGTCTACAGAGGTGATGTGCACAAGCCACCTAAGCATAAATCCTTACTCAATCAGCCTAGTCCAAAACATCTATGAGGGACTGATATTCTCACATTGAAGCTTGGGACTTACACACTGCCTGATGATCCTCTGTCAATCCATCACAGTCCATGGAAATTCTGTATCCCTCATTAGCTGGAAAAGGCCTACGGCTTGTTGGTCTAATTTGGATATTACAATACTCCCACCCATTAAGAGCTACAAACCAAAACCATGTCCAATAATTGCATTCACAAACTACTCAGTTCTAGCAAATATCCACATGACCTTCTGTAATTAATACAAATAAGATCTAAAGGTAAAGAGCTTTTCTCTGACTAATATTTAGTAAGTTCCACAAGACATGCACTAAAATGTCTCCAACAGTGCTCATATTCCTGACAGAGGCTCAAACACTACCACGAAGTAAATAGTCATGCCAGATAAGGTTTGCAGCAGTTTAGACAATTCCAATAGCTTCTTATCTCCCATGCAAATTTAAGGCATAAACGATTCTGCCATGAGGCTCTGCGCAAGACTCCAGAGACTCAAGCTCCAGCTCATACTGGAGCTTTTTCATTTTTGTTGAAAAAACGGGATTCTAATGAAGTGCCAAGTGTATAGTTCAGTGTTCATATAACACCAACTAGCAGTTCAGAAGTAGCATAGTAACTCCAAGAGTAAGATAGATGCAAGACCTATTTCAGGCAGTCACCATAACAAACAATTGTAGAGAACTGAACAGCATCTTTTCAGACAGCAAGTACTCACTGTCCTGTACTTCAAAACCTACCAGATGAGCTCTGCAGATGCAGATGGACATAGTTACAGTTTTGTTCCCTGCACGCTATGCTTACCATGGAACCAAAGGAAATCAAAGTAAAAAGCCACACACACCTGATAGATAAGCGAAATAAAAATGAGGTGCAGGCACAGCATAAGCCACTCCATGTTAAAAAGTTGATTTTAGACAGTCCTAATCCACTAGAAAAGGGGAAAATGGCTCAAGATTAAATTCAAAAAGTAAACTTCCAGTGGCCTTTAAGGAAGAAATCACTTGCAAGACCAGGAAGACATTACTCCTTCAAACATAACTGATTGATGAAGGCGCACCACAATCCAGAAAGTCATGTGGAAGCAAGCGCACAAGTGAAGTGCAGAAGCACTTCAGATGTATGTAGTGTACAATCAAAATACAGTATCAGCATAAAATCTAATACAGGAACACACGCATGGAAAAGCAAGGCTTATAACTTTGTCAAAGGCAGAGAAGAATAAGTCTTATCTTCACAAAGGAAGACTAGTCATTTCTCCACTGCAAGAGGTAAACCTAAGCAAAACTGTCAGAATTTAAGACAAGGAAATAGGTACTTTCAAGTTTATAAGTAGAGCTATCAGAGGCAAGGAATCTGCAGAATACTTCTGTTTTACTACATAGTAAATGTCATTTAACAAGATACCATGAAAGAAACAGAAGGAGGGGAAAAGGATAGGAGAGAAAGATCCGTTCCACCGAAGGCAGCAGGTACAAAGAGATAAAAACAGAGGCTTGCAAGACAGCACATGCCAAAGAAATCAAATGGAGAGTAGTTGCTTAAACGTAGCTCATCATGTTACTTCATATAAAGAATTCCTGAAGTTCTGCTAAGCTACTAACGAGTCACTGCTTTTCATCATGCAACAGTTCATTTTCCTTGCACACCTTCCTATCTTGTCTCAAGTCAGTGTGGTTTCCCCAGGGCAAAGAGTTTGATGCTACCGTACCAGTTGCTTCTTTAGAAAGCTTAAGGATAAACCAAAGCTGCATAGCTTTCACATCCTTTAAAAAAAGAGAGAACCTGGCCTTTGTAAGCCACACATAGGAAGTTTAAGCATAAAAATAGAAGCAAACATCTAGAAATGCACTTGATATGGCTACAGAGTTGCAAGATCTGTGGATCTAACTTACCTATCATTACATATATTTTAGGGCAGTGCTACACACAAATTACACTGTGACAGAAAAACATGTTGCAAGCAACACTTCACAAGCCAGAGCACACTATCCCAATTAAAGGGCCACAAACCCTACAGTGTGGGGGAACACGGCTCAGCATTGCTTTGGAGGCTGTCGTTCAGTCATCATATTTGGTTGTAACTTACTTGCTCTTCCTAGAGTTAAGAAACAACTTTTACACTGCATAAAATTTTATTATGAGTTAAAATGTATGAGTCATACAGATTGATCAACATTGATCACAGAGGTACTAGAAACATTTGGAATAGGACTGAAAATCTGATTAGTAAAAAAAAAAAATCACACACTAGGTATCTGAAAACACATACACCAAAACAGCAGAGTATCTTCCATATAATGGAAGGACAAAGGAAACGAAACAGTGCAGATCCTCTCACTTTGCTTTGAGAGCATAGGATTCCACCTGAAAACTAAACTGAACAGAACAGTTCATACACTACCTCCCTGCAGTTTTTCTTCTCACATCCTGGTGATAAGAACCACATCTGGTTTCAGCTGGGACAGAGTTAGTTTTTCTTTTTAGCAGATAGAATAGCTCAGTGTTTTGGATCTGGTATTTTAGAGTATGTTATGTTTGCATGTTATGTCTAGTATGCTCTCAGAAGAATGTTGATAACACACTGATGTTTATAGTTGGTGCTGAGACATCAAGGACTTTTCAGCTTCCCATGTTTCACCAGTGTGCAGGTGCACAACAGGTTGGGAGAACAAGGCCATGACAAAGGGCCCACAACTTGTAACTTATGATATGAATTTAGACTTAGGATTGAGGCCCAAATTAGCCAATGGAATATTCCATTATCATGCAATGTCATACCCTGTATACAGACAAGGGTTGACCAGGAAGTTGGGCTCTGTCTTCTGGGGGAAACTCTTCTCAGCTTCTTCTTGGACTCAGTTCTCTCCCTCTCTCACTCTCTTTTCAGGCTTCTCACTTATCTGTGATTGCAGTGTCAAGCCTTACCTGTTTCAGGATTGCTCTCCAGGACAGGCAAGGTGAACACTAAATGAACTGGCTGGTGCTGCTGCTACTGTGACACTACCACCAGGAGTGACCACAGCAGTTTCCCAAGAACAAAGGAAAGGAAGGACAGGAAGCTACATTTGAAGCTTATCTGCTGTTTAGTTCTTGGTTCTGAAATAAGTTTTTCATACTTTACTTTGACAGTAGTCTACTGTTACCCAGCATCCGTCATAGACTTTCTAAAATGTCACAGGAAAGGTGCCAGGTTAGATGATTTAAAGCAAATGGGGACATGCTTTAAGTTTAGTGTTCTCAAGAATTTATCTGTAACCACTGCCTCATGTTCCATGTTTGTATCACCATTAAGGTTCTTTTTCATGTTGTTTTTTCTGTATTTCACTAAATGAAATTCGGCCTAACTGCTTGTATTTGCTAGAAAGTAATGCTTTCTAGCAAACGTAGCTGGGCTACAACAACACTTATGGTATATTCTGTATAAATATAAAATATAAAAAGTCTCAGCCTCTCCTGCTGTCTTCAATTTGGAATGTTTGTCTTTAGCACGTAACTTATTTTGTTGCTGAAGTTGAATTCATCTTTGAGCTCTGAATCTGTGTTTGATGCCTTCTGATACATGCTTGCATAACTGTGCGTTCCCTTTCAGGCTCACAAATACAGAATACTTGTTCTTCTAAACACGCCTTCAGGCCAAATTCCCTATTAGAAAGTCAAGTGCTACTTTCTGAATTTAGATTTCAAATCCATGGTGAACTGTGTGATCTGCCAATGCAGAAAGATCTGTAAGCCTTTTCTGCAAGACCCTACGCTCTGCTTTGTTTCCAGTTGGTGTGAGCAGAGTCTGGATTAGCATTACACAGTGTCGTATGGCAGTGTAAGTTCAGTTGTTCTCGCATTCTGCAACGCTCTCCTGCTCTGTTGTGTGCTGCCTGCTGGCGGGGAGCAAGGCCTGGACAGAAGGCCTGCAATTTCTAACTGATGACTTGAATTTAGATTTAGGATGAAGGGCCAAATTGGCCAATGGAATACTTCATGTCCTGCAACCTCATGCCCAGTACACAGATGAGGGCTGACCAGGAAGTTGCAGTGCTCTCTCTTTTAGGAATTCTCTTGGACTCTGAATTCTATCTCTTGCTCTTTTTGGGACTCTCATTTGTCCTGGCATGTGGTGTTGGGACTTACCTGATTCAGGATCACTTGCCAGAATAGGACAGGCATTGGTCACCAGGTAGTGAACAATTACACTGTGCATCAATTGTTCGTATGTATTATCATTATATATATTTTCATATATTATTATTTTATCGTTACTACTTTTAACATTATTCTTAAATTGTTCTCTTCTCAACTCATGAGCCCCCTTCCCTTTTCCCCTTTAATTCTTTTCACCATTCACCTGGGGGCAGGGAAGGGTGATTGAGCAGCTGCATGGCATTTAGTTGCCAGCCAGGTTAAACCACAACACTACTGTTGCCTTTATTTGTACCTTTCACCACTCCATCTTTTTTTCCCTTCCTCTCTTATTTGTGAAGGCTGTATTGACTAATTCAATTTATGCATTCTGAACCATGATAGTCCTATTCCATACCTCTCCACCCTGCTCCAGCCCCCACTTGCTCATCTCCCAAGCTTTCAGTATCTAAAATACAGCAGAGAAAGTACTACTTATGGACAGGCTTTTGCCCTGAATATTTTCACTTCTAGCATATGACTGCTAAAGTAACTTTTGCATTAGCATCATTCATAAAATCTCAGGGCTACCTACCAGCTTCTAGAGCTCATACTTGGAAAAGTATGCTGAATTTAATCATCTCTCGACTAAGCTCCTGATTCTTCATTGTGAACTCTTACCAGTACAATTTTAATTATTCTATTTTTTTACTCACTTGGCCACAGACTGGATAACTTTAGAAGATGTATCCTTAATATTAGTGAAAAATCGCTCCGTTCCACCCCTTATAATGTCAAGGAACCCTCCATAAGTCTGGTCACATTCAGCAACGGTCAGGCCTAGAGCAATGAAATAGAAATAATTGTACTTTAAGTCATATCCTGGAATGGGCTCCATACTAAAGCAAGTTGCCTACAAAGCTGGAAGTGGATGCACATACACTCTACACCTTGCTGTAAGGCTCAGTTCTACAGTTCTCCTTAACTATGACCTATGTAAAAAAATAGCACTTCCTGCAGTTGGAGGTACTAGTGAACTGCTTAACACATTGTTTAATGGACTGTTTGCATTTAAAAGAAAACAAGGTAAAGTATTTCTGAAAGTAAAGCATTTATTTCATATTGCCAGTGTAGCAAAATACTGCCTTTTTTATTACTGGTGTCTTAAAGTGCAGCTTATCATTAGCAAATCTATTTAAGCACTCCCAGTAGAGACATTTTAATGCAGGGCTTCAAAAGCAGCTGGCATAATTAACTTACTCTTGAAGCACAACATCCCTATTAATATGACTGTATACAACAAATAGTACTCATCCTTGCACAAAACAGATGGCCAGACAGCCTTTTGATTACAGTCCTATTAGGAAGCTCAATTCTTCCACAGAAATTGATATACACATAACACTACTGCAACAAACATTACCCAATTTTAAAAGCTTCCCAGGAACATTACTATCCTTTGTCTCATTGGCAATTCAGCATAAGTAACATCAAGCAGGAAATGCCAAGTTGGAAGTATGAAATATTTCCTTGGTATCTTCTACATTAATTGAAGTGTTCAATATTCACAAATGATATATGATAAGATGGGTTCAGAAACTGCCTTCTAATAAGAAATTAGATGCAAATAAGCCTATGAAGCTTCTAATTTTCTTTACTATATTAAGTGCAAGTATATCTCAGGAGGACCTAACAAAAATTCAGGGGGACCTAATAGCTGCCTTCCAATACCTGAAGGGAACCTACAGGAAGGCTGGGGAGGGACTTTTTACAAGAGTGTCCACTGATAGGACAAGAGGCAATGGGTTTAAGTTGAAGGAGAACAGATTTAGATTACATCTCAGGAAGAAATTCTTCAGTATGAAGGTGGTGAGACTTTGCAATAAATTGCCCAGAGAGGTTGTGGATGCCCCCTCCCTGGAGGTGTTCAAGGCCAGGTTGGACGGAGCCTTGAGTAGCCCGATCTAGTTAAAAGGCATCCCTGCCCATGACAGGGAGGTTGGATTAGATGATCTCTAAGGTCCCTTCCAGCCTATGCTATTCTATGATTTTCAACTGAATGAACTCTGGAATATCTGTTTTTACAGAATGAGTATGTCAGCTTTTAATTGTGTCGTTTGAGACATTTTGGTTGACTTAATATAGTACTGCTAGTCCAACTACTGTAGTACCATCTGAGGAAAAGTAACTCCTCCTCATCATTGATGTCCTGTGGTGCAACCACCTCCTGAAGTCCTCCCTGCACAGTCCTCCCATAATCAGCCGGGCTTAAGGCAGTACCAGCTACGGCTATTTCTGAACATACTGATTGGATAGCTAATATAAACTTCATTTAGGCTTCTGCTTTTTCCCCTTGAGGCTGTCAGACATGAATTTTTGGAAGTAACAAAACTAAATGTCTTTAGATTGTGTTTGCTCTGTCAGATGCACTTCAAACTATCACAGAGGGCTCAAAGTCTTTTTGCAGGGAAGAGAGGGGGACAGAGAAGTGGACCCCAGATGCTTATCGAAGTATGTCTTCCCCAATACAGGCTCTTCACAGGCTAAAACACATGTCAGGTCAGTGACTCCTTAGCATTAATGAACTACTGTGGTCCATAGTAAAAATCCCTGCAGTTGCTTCTGTACTTCTTTATTGGACAGCCTCAACCATTAGACACCAACGAGCCTGTTTTAGCATAAAGTTACACCAAAGGCTGCAGAATGGCTGCTATCTTTTTACATTGTAACATATGTGATGTTAAGTAGTTCTTGGAAAGCAGAGACAGCTGTCACTTTCTTACACCAAAGATCCAATATTGTGCAGACTGGGATATGTACTGATTTCAGTAACTTCTGCCACAAAGTAACAAAGTTAAAATACAGCACTTTGAGATTTTTAACAGTTTAAATTTAAACTTCTCTTAAATCCTCTTCACACAAGACATTTTCAAATATCATGGCCTCACTGAATCAGAAAGTTTTGGGTTTAAAATGAGCCATTTTTATTTGTTTGTCATAACCTGAAGACTACTTTCTCTATAGCCCTTTTTCATAAGGACATTATTGCTTACTGCATCCACCACTTTCATCAAGTTTTAGTTGACTTACTTCAACTCTCTCACCTCTACAGGTCAATAAAGCACTTTAGTTTCAACTATTTTACATAAGAAACCTAATTTTATCCTGCCCAGCAATGAACTCAAATTCATGTTTGCGTGTATCAACATACAACCAAACTCTGCAAAAAATAAAACAAGGTTAGAAACAGTGACATAAATGCAAAATAGCTAGTACTTGTGCAAAATGTTTAAAACCCCCAAATGATATTTTTTCACATAGAATATATGAAATTGGTTTTACACTAAGATGATGTCTTTTTCTGCACTGACCTGCACTGTGCATATTGAGCTGTCCTGCAGGATTGGAGCTCTGTGAAACAGAGGTTGCAGACATCCGAGGCTGAGCATTGTTTCCATAGCCTCCGTTTTGTTCCAGGAGCTGAAGAAATTAATACTCACAATGAGTATTTTCTTGCCAGTTTAGCCCATTTGTTATGGTTTCTAAATTGCATTTACTCCATGAGAACAAGCAAGCTATCAGTTACTTAACCTCAGGAGAAAGCCAGGAAGTCAAAATACATTAATGGATTCACTTGCAGTATTGTGCAAGTTGAGCATTGAACAGAAGACACCTAAGTGGGTTTCAAGTTACGGTACACAGAGCCTTCATATATTAGATTTTTCTGTGCAAGTTAATTAGGATTAAATGCAGCACATCAAACAGCACTTGCGTACTAAAGAGTGACCCAAGATCATAAGAAGTTTTTCAACAAGCAATAAGTACTAGTTTCCTTTAATGTCATGCAAGCTCTGCATTTTAAAAGGCATATTTTCAAAGATCCTACAAGTGATACAGAACATTTCAATTGAATTTCAAAACAAGTTATTGTGAAACTTTCAAAAGAACTGAGGAACAGGGGACCTGCTCTGACATCTGTTACTAAACTCACACTCACCGGTAAGAGGAGAGAAGGGAGACCTAATCCATAATACTCCTTATAAGATATCTTTACCTCTGTGATAGGGGATTCAGGATTCACGTTCCTAGCTGCTGCAATCTCCTGCAGTTGATTCACAAGTTCAGTGATTGTCAATCTCTCCTCTGGGTTCACCTTCAAAGTGGAGCCTAAAAAAGGAGATTCAGATGACGTAACAGAAACCCTTCAGAGCTCTTCTCCCAGCAGAGATTAATTTCTTCAGTGCAGTCCAGTATAACAAGCAACCAAACATGTGAACAGAATGGAGCAACTGCTAAATTCATATCCAAATATCATTGCCATAATACATATCCATAAAAAACACCATTTAGGGTTAAGAATATTTCAAAGAATATACTTCAGGATCAGTTAATGAATAACCTCAGAAGTAACTCTATATCTAATACTGTTGGAGTTATACTTCTGGTGCTGTAATTAAAGTTTCATAACCTCTTTGAAATTTAAAGAAAACAGAATTTCTAAAGCAAATTCAAAGAAACCAAATCAAAATACTAGCTGTTCCTATGGACCAATTCAGATCCTAAGCAATACAGGCAACAACACTAGAAACCCAGAAGTTTCATTCAAAATTTCTATTTTTTTTATAACGGATTAAAATTTTTAATAAAACAAGTAGTCATTGCAGTTGACCTTTTCCACTATCACATGTCAATAACATTTAATTACTGTCAATAAGATGTATGCATAAAGACACCAAAATAAAAAACATTTTAAACTTACGAATGAGATCATGAAACACAGAATAGCGGGTGTCATTTTGTGGGATGACGTATTTCCCATTGACTATGCGAAGTTTAGCTCCATCTTCAAATGGATGTTGCTTAAAGCACAGCAAGTACAGGATACAGCCCAGAGCCTAAACCGGGATAAAAGGAGAAATATTTCATAGAATAATTTACATTGGAAAAGAATCTTAAGATTGAGTTCAACCATTACCGTAACATTGCCAAGTTCACCACTAAACCATGTCCCTAAGTGCCACATCTACACATCTTCTAAATACCTCCAAGGACAGTGACTCAACCACTTCCCTGGGCAGTCTGTTCCAATGCTTGACAACACTTCCAGTTTCCTAATATCCACTCTAAACCTCCCCTGGTGCAACTTCAGGCCATTTCCTCCTGTCCTCTCACTTGCTACTTGGGAGAAGATACTGACACCCACCTCACTACAACAGTAGACAGATGTCACAACAGTGTCACAGCAGGTCAAACACTAGCAGTGGCAGCTGGTGACACTGCCAGCCCACAATGGATATAAAAGGAGCTGTGTCAGCCCAGGCTGGCAGAAAAGCACCCAGGTGAGCAAGGGCAGGGATGGGAGGGCACAGAGGCAAGGGCTGCCCATAGTGATAGAGGGTGGCTGCTTTGTACTACAGTTGGATGTCTGGATAGGTAAACAACCAGACCACAGCACACTCCTGTCCTCTTCCTCCTCTGCCACTGACCTGGAGAGTTGCAAACAGTCTACAGGACATGTAAGGTAACACCAACTCCTACCACCCCTTAGTGGTCTTACAAGGAGCTGAAAGCCATGGACAAAAGGAGCTCTGTGCCCTTTTTCACTAGGTACCCTGGGACTGAGCTCCTGGCAGTAGCCCTAGTGATACAGTGGCCATGTCAGTGGCCAGCACACTGGTGGTGGAGAGCATTTTTGGCCCAGGATAGGTGTTTCCTGGACATCAGGGAGACATGGCATGGATAACCTTGGTGTGAAGAGCCCCAGGCAGGGAGGCAGGGGCTGCCCGTGGCAACAGAGGGTGGCTGCTTCAGTCAGTGGTTCTCTTGTCTTTGGCAGCTGCAGCCCTGGAAAGGGACATAAGCATACCATGACACGCTTTTGTCCTCTCACTCCTCCACCACTCAAAGGAGTGTTATGACTTTATACAAGGATGTTGACCCAATGATAAAGAAACACCTTATCCTTCACCTCTACACCTTATGTCATATCCTATGATAGATAGCATCACAGTCCTACGGGAAGACGGAAGGTCTTCATAGCAGTGGACAATAGGAGCTCTGCAGCACCTACCTTCTTTGTGTGAAACTTAACACAGATGAAATAAGTTTATATAAACAAATTTTCTGATTCATGAACCCATTGGCTGGTGGTTCTTGTTTGTGCTCTTTAGTTCAGGCAATGATATTTAAAGCCAAATTTTAGAATATGAACTTGATTAAGCTTCCTAATACCACCTGCAAATCAAAAGTTCCAACTGTCAACTGTTAACTCATGCAACTCTCTATATGTATTTCTAGTGCTTTAGAAATCAGCTTTACACTCCTTTAGAAATAATTACTCTTGATGTTTCTCTGCAGACAGAACTCTTAGTGAAACACTCATTTCTTTGGCATATCAATTAGAAAGCTCCAAGCAGCAATACTGCTACTAAACAGGTTTGAAGAGTTTTTTCCCTTTCATGAAGTTTTCAGGTTCAGAGTCTCTCCTATTCCTGTCTTTTTAAAATCATCACAATAAACCCATTTTATTAATTTCACAGTATACAAAAATGAGTAGTCTTGCAACACTGAACATGTTCAAGAATAGGTTTTCTTCCTTACAAAAAAGCTCTGAAGTTTTATTTCTTATCTTCATCCTGTGCTCCAAGGAGACTCATTTTATTTGTGGGGACAGAATTTGGTCTTTTGTATTTCTAAGTAGATATGGTTTGCTTTGCAATACGCCAGCCAGGTAGGCACTGAAGTGTTGATTTGCTTAAATGACACTAGGGGGACACATTATCATCTCTAAAATGCTTGTTTTGATAAAGATTTGAAGTAAATAAGTCTGAAATTATGGTCCCTTTATTTCCTACAATCAGAAAGCTATTCAATTTTTATAAAAAATAAAATTTAAGATTGTTTTCAGATAGATTCATTCAAGTCCCCAAAATCACAAAGCCAGGACTACCACATGCTGGGAACTTTCAAGTTCTTTGGTGTGCCCATAGTTGAGACCTGAGCAACCTGACAAGCAAACAACCACTCAAGCCAGAAGCCCATTTTGAATTCTAATCTCTGAATAGTCCAGGTGTTATGGATTAGTTAGGGTCATTTCATCTGTTACTTATGTAAATATAAGTTGATATATTATTTTCACACAAGTTTGTATATGAAATATACTGGCAGAGTTATGCTATTGTAATAGAACCATGTTCCATCTGGCTTTTAAAAGTTAAATAATAAAGCGTGCAATACCTCCCAGAAAACGTTTGCACAACAGACTGGAAAATTCCTCCTTAATTTTCTTCTGAACCTCATCTTAGCTGCTTAAGCACATGGGCTTTTATAGCCCCCCACAAATAAAACAAACCAGTTAAGTCATTAGCTAAGAAATCTACTCACTGCCTCCAGTCCTGTGTGCACCTTCTCCAACTGTTCTTGGTTGTTGATTTATCCCAAGAACTGTTTCAGAGATTTGAGTGTTCTTAAAGTCTCTCAAAGGTTTGAGATTTAGTTACTCCAAAACACTGAGTTGCCCAATCCAAGGCCAGAACTAAAATGCATATATTAATTCTGTATTAGTGTATAGCAAGAACATTTTTGTCAGACTTGACAAAAAGCTCTGTCATGTATACACTAAAGCATCATAGTCCACATTAATTAATCCAGCAGGGGAGTACAGAAAACATCACCTACTCTGCTACAGAAATGCCTGTTTACAAAGAAGGCAGATCATAATTTAGCTGGAGGAATGAAACCACTACCTGTGCAGTCTGAGACACCAAGCACATCAGAAGAACAGCATCCACAGCCACACCAGGGAGAAAAGCACAAAGGTAATGAGCTGAACACACAGGAAGTGAAGAGACCACTTAGATTTGATCTTTGCTTTATGTTTTTCATTCCCTTTGCTAAGTTTACAATCCTGTAACTTAAGATTGTAATAATGATTTGGTTTTTGTTGTGTTTTAACCTGGCTGGCAACTAAATGCCACACAGCTGCTCACTCACCCTCCCCAGCCCTCAGGAAAAGGGGAAGAGAAAGGGGAAAAGGGAAGAAGACTTGTGGGTTGAGGTAAGAACAATGTAATCTTAATATAATATGAATATATATAATGATAATATATACAAACAAGTGATGCACAGTGTAATTGCTCACCACCTAGTGACCAACGCCTGTCCCATCCCGGCAAGCGATCCCAAAATAGATAAGTCCCAACACTGCAATCCCAGACGAGTGAGAGGCCCGAAAAAAGAGCGAAAGAGAAAGCGCTCTGAGAGTCAGAGTTCAAAAAGCCCTCAGAAGAGAATTCCAAACTTCCTGGTCAACCCTTGTCTATATACCAGGCATGATACTGCATGATATGGCCCTCAATCCTAAATTAAGTTCAAATCATAAGTTAGAAGCTGTGGGTCCTTCATCCTGGCCTTGTTTCCCCCCAGCCTGTTGTGCTCCTGCACACTGGCAAACAAAGGAAGCTGAAAAGTCCTTGATGTCTCAGCAACAACTATAAACAGTGTGTTATCAACTTTTTTCTCATAACAAATCCTTTACAAAATCCAAAATACAGAGCTATTGCAGCTGCTAAAAAGAAACACTAACTCTGTCCCAGCCAAAGTCAGGACAACCTTGAATACTTTAGACACAATTGTGATTCATTTTAGCTAAAAGGCAACTCAAGTTGCAGAAAGGCAATTCCTCAAAGCCAACACCATCCACATAGCCTCAGCACTGATATGTTTAACAAAATTCCATTTCCCTGAGATGCTGCCTCAAAGCTGCAGACATCATTCCTTCTACTGTCTAGGTCAGTCTGAGCATCCACAAGCCAGCAGGTGAAAAAGTAGCATGACAAAGTAACCAAAAATAACTATGAATAACTTCTTGACCTGCTCTTGGGCCCTTACCAGCAGCTAATTTGACCCTTCCTTAAGGGGACAGTGGGGTGTTGGGGGGTCGTAGTAGTGTTTGTGGGAAAAATTGTTTAAAAGAAATCAAAATGCTGTTACTTTTCCACTGAACAGCTTTGGGAAATAAGCAGCACACTTAAAATGATGAAAAGTCCTACAGTATAGCTGCAGGATGACACGCAGGTATTAACTACAAAGTACTTTCCGAATAGAATTAAACTACATAAAATCTAAAGAGGCCATTCAGTTTATGCAGAATTAAAACCTGCCAGATGTCTTGCACTGTCTAGAAGAATTTTTACCAGATCTTGGTAAGGAGACCTCAATTTTGACATGCTTTTTCAGAAATTTGTAAGAGTGTATGAAGGGCCTTCCGAGCCAAAAGATAATTTCAATGGAGAAAAATCTTTGACAAGGTAAAGCCCATCATTTCAGTGGAATTCAGCTGGACTTCAGTTTCCAAAATCACATTAATTTATAAAAAATGGAACTAAAAATATTTGGGTTTAGTGTTTGTTTTCTGAAGATCTCTAGACTGAGGTAGGAAACATACAGAGAGCAGTTGGCCAAGCCTAGGAACCTCTGATCTTAGAGTCAATATCTAATCACATTCTATGGAATCTATGTGGTTGAGAACTACATTTAATCCACATTGCCTTTCTAAGCAAGAAATTTCTATGTCCTTTATACTTTTAAACTCACACAGTGACAAGCTCATGGACCACAACCATGAGTATTATTCATCCTACCTGCTTTCTTGGTTATCCTAACCACAAACTACAAAACTACTTACACTTTGAGACAGCACCATACTCTATTGCTAAATACTTCGCAAGTTTTTTATTGAACCCAGAGTGTAAAGTAAAACACAGAACAACATGTTCTATGGTAAATGGAACAGATCTTCCGAAGACACAGCAGGAGACAATCACCATGTTAATACTAACAGATACAGTTATTCTAAACAAAAAATAAATTGCAACTGCCCTTTTGAGTGAGGCTTTTGTTAAATGCATTTCTAGCTTTGTGTTTAACTGGATGTAACCTTGGTTCAGATTGCCAGTATTTAATACACATGAAGCACCCATATGGCCAGCAACTATATTTCTTCACATGCCAGAAAAAAGTCATCAACAGTTGCAGAAGCTGAACTAGAGCTTCTGCAATATCTTGTAACTAATTTAAGAAATCAAAGTTCTGAGATTCCAAATAAAAACTTTTAAAGCACCAATATGACATTTTCTCAATTACTCTTTTGACACACTGCCAATACAGATAATAGCTGAACGGCTTGACACATGCCTCCGTAAAAACATCCAATAACCTAAGTTCCTAAGCACAAAGCCACTGGCAGTACCTCGGTACTCTTGCAATACTAAACAACTAATAATGGCACAACTGAGAATTTAATATTTACCTTTTAACTCTGGCTACAGATGTTTAGTAAATGCTTACAGTTTATCATCCCTTCTATACAAAGCATGAATGACCTCTGCTTTGTTCTCATCCTTGCTATTTGTCAGTATTTTATCTAGGCATAACCATTTTGAACTCAGCAATACACTGTCCCAGGATCAAAGGCATGAAAGGCAAGAACTTGAATCTAAGGACTGTAAGTATTCTGGCTTTACAGTGGCAAGCTATTGTAAACAAGAACCAAGCAACAGTTCTACTGAACGTCAAGGAAGTTCAGCATTGCCTCTCACAGTGGGAATGAAGTTAGACCTGGGAGAAAGTCTCAAATACTACATCTCATTCTTTTAATTTGTTTATTTTGACATAAGACAGTCTATCCTGTGTTTATATTAGTGCTTTTATCTATTTAATCAACAAATTAACACAAAAACAGCAGAATCAGTTTCACTATGACATAAGCAGCTATGATACACCAAAAGAAAAATCTTACCCAAATGTCCTGTTTTACACCAATTGGAAAATTTGAATACAAGTCTATCATTTCTGGTGTCCTATACATTGGCGTTGTATTCCTTGTGATCTGCAAAAGACAATTTCTTGAAACAAACGAATAATAAGTTCTAACAGCATTCAACTAAGGACACATAGAATGGATAGCATTCTCACTTTGGAAATTAATTTCAGAAATACTTGTCAAGGCAGAAGCCATCAATTAAATCCTGCAATAGTCACAACAGCTTTGATATAAGGCCAGATAAAGACAGTAGTACTCAAATAAATAACATGGATATTCAGGAGTCCTTCCAAAATGCAAAGCACATAAAGTAAAATCACTGTTCTACATGAGACAAAAAGGGATATGGACACAAATACAGAAAATCAACAAAGAAGTTAACAATAAACCAAGAAGTGAATTCACATTCCAGTGTGCACTTCTCACTTCATCACACTTAATGACGGTGCAGATGCATCCACAGAGCTAAGCTATGTTCACAAAGATCCCTGAACAGACCTTTCCTACCATCTTTTTGCATAGACTATATAAGACAGTGGTAAAACATCACTTTTTCTTCTCCAGAAACTAATGGATTGCTATCCAAGGATGCTGGGTTCCAAAACAGAGGGAGTTTAGAGACTCATGATATCAGAAGTTGCACACATGAATTTAAGTATGGAGAAATAGTGACACTTAAAAGTCTGAGCCCAGCTGATGTATTGCATTAGATTCACCAACATTACTCCTAGCTCTAAACTAGGAGATACACTTTGCAAAAACCATGTGCTTAACACTGTCACTGTAGTCCTAGAGTCACCGCAATACTGTCTATTCAAATTCTGCTCAGCACACTTGCCACTTCTTTATATATCATTCAGCTGAGAAAAACAGATGAGAAGGTGGGAATCAGTTTGGCATAAGCAATTTCTGACTTCCTGTTAAGAGTGCAATTAGAAGAAGCTCTGATAATCACTTCTGTTTTCACACCAGATTGCAGAATGGACACTGCTCACATTGAAGCAGTGTTTACATACACAGCTACAGAACACCAGCTATGATTATAACTGCAGGTAGTATTTGAACTCAGGTAACAAATAAAATTCAAAACTTTACAAAAAAACGCAACTGAAACAATCCTCAGTTGTCTTAAAAGACCTATGAATTAATATCAGCTTAATAGTAACAGTTACACAAATCTACTGTTGATATTAAAATTAATCACACGAAAATACTCTCACCTCTTCTTCAACCAGTGCTCTTTTTTGTGCAGACCAGCTGTAGTCAGGATAATAAGCTATAGTGGTAGCACTACCAAAGTCACAAAGTTTAATCATCCCTTGATTACTAACAAGCAAGTTTTCCACCTTCAAAAAGAGACAAAAAATAAAGACATCTTTCTCCTGTACACTTACACACATGCTTTTCAACATCAACTCACTTGTGCATGTATATAAAAAGTACTCACTTTAGCCCAGAATGTTGTTTACGGGAGCACAAAGATTTCAGACAGTACTGTAGACGTCTTAGCAATACAACCAATTTTTAAAAGGAAGCACCAAAAACACTACAAGCAGGAAACATTCAAGAAGGAAATTAACCTCATGAAAGAAAAATAATTTCATTAGTGCCTAAGATGCCAGTTTTTCAGAGGATTACTTGCAGAAGCAGTCTCTTGGAATCCAAATATTCTCATGCATAAAACTAAAGTTAGCTTAGTTGCAGTGGAGTGGAGGTTAGGAGTGCTGTAGATGCAAAACGGGAAGGTAATAGGAGAGAAGTAGGCTCCTGAGGTATACCCAGAAAGAGGTAGCCATGATTCTGCAGAGACAGAAACCAGCTATTTGAGGACCATGTGCTGCCTGAACAGTTCATCATCCCTCCCTTTTCCTACTTCACAAAATCCAGCCTTCCTGAATTGCTAAATGAAATGAGAAGAAACTTAAGGAGAGAAAAAGAGTGGGTATTGGGCAGGATTATTGTGGGGTCATAACCACAAAAGGGCTGAAAAAGAAAATTTGTATCTCTGCGAAGTCAGGAAAACGCATAAAAGTTGAGAGGCATATTAGTAACATTACACTTCAGGTAACTAGGTTTGTCTTCCCTTTCCCTTTGAAACCACATTCCTTCAGTACAACCTCAGTTTTCAGAACATTCTACTAGTGTCCATTACACATGCCCCTTTCAACTTCTTCCACCATCAAATTAATTTTGACTACCTTGCAGGAAGACATAAGCTCTGTTAAAGATGTGGTTAAAGTATTGATCCCAATGAGCAATCTGAATTCCCTTCTCTGTTGGATAACATTTCTTTATCTCCAAGTATAATAAGAAGGACAGGCATTCAACATAAAATTAAATTTATACACCAAAAATGGTCACAGCAAGACCCAAGATCAAGCTTCTATACGCATATGTTCTGGTTTATGTGCTTTGGTAAAGGTTGCTAATAATGTAAAACATTCCAGTTGATTATTCAGATTTTCACAGGCTCTATGACCTGTTACGCAGACTAGATATATGCCGTATGGTAAACCCTGAAAAGATCAAATTCAGATACTTGTACTGATATTTTTGATGTACTGATGATTGTACCGATATTTTACAAAATGCTCTCTAACTAGCTTAGAGCTTTCACAACTCAGTAACTAGCTGAGTTCTTCCAGTGCTGAACATACACATTCTAAGTACAAACTTCATCCAAAGGGGGTTCAGGAACAAATAAAGCGCTATGCTGACACACAAGAAAAGGAAACCACAGGAGAACAGAAACAGCCACCACTACAAAGGTGAACTTGTTCTTAAGCTGCACTGTGGAAGTTCATGAATCCTTATACTTTTAGCCAAACTAATTGAGGAAAAACTTGTCAGGACTCCATCTTACTAAGTCCCTCCATAAAAGCTACATTAGCATCTCAGGTCTCACTTGAGGTCGGCTCAAAACAGTGACTTTTTTTATGCTGCTGACCTAAGTCCAGCGTTCTGGAAAGGGTAGCACAGTTAAATGATCCCTATTTGGCTCCTGACTGTTGTAAGGTTTCTGCCTATTGCAGCACAATCATGATTTATTTTGCTTTGCAGCACCTGTATCACAAAACCAAACTCCTGACTTTCTCCGGATTTTATCTCTGCCAGGAACTTACATTGCTTGACAACAAAAACAGACCTTGAATTGCAGTATTAGCTCAACTTCCATGGAGCTGGCTATGTAAGAAATCGCATATTTATTTGTCAATAGTTTTTTACCTCTTTCAGAGAAGAGACGCAGCTTTTCCACAAGCTTTTATAGGGGCTAGTGTATAGAAATTTCAGTGAAGAACAAAAGATTTTATTCTAGAAAGTAACATCAAGAAAGTTCTATCCCAGTTTGGTTAAAATTGATGTGATCTAGAAGCCTGCTCAATGGTACTGAGAAAAAAATGTGCTCTATCATCAAAACTATTGTTATATTAAAGGGCTACACTAGTGTCTAACATCAAAGATTTCAACAACAGTACTGAAAACACTTGGCACATATTTACCTTAAAAGAGGTTGATTTTCCTTTCCCCAAAGAAATCAAATACATGCTTACTTAAGGAGGAACGAGTTTTCCCTTTTTTATGCTTGATATCACATCAAGCAGGAAATAGGTATGTGTGAAATTCAGACACCATTTCATAAGTAAGAATCTTCTTTCTCTATTTTGTTGATGTTTAAGAAGACCACTTCCTTCCATTAGGTTCAAATGTATTAGTACAGTAGAATCTCACTGATGATTAGGGCTCTTTCATCTAAGGTGTAGTGTACAGGTAAAGGTGAACCCCTGCCTTCAAAATACGAAATTCAAACACAGATGAAGTCCTTTCAAATCTCCAAACTTTCTAAGGGGACAACACTATCTACAGCATAACCCTACACCATCTTGGTAAAGGCTAACAGAATAAAAAAATTAAGAAACAATCTATCACGAATTATGCTTATCAAATTTTAACATTCAACTTAAAAAACAAGCCCTAAAATGCAATGCAAGTTAAGAATGTGTAGTGAGCTGTTTGTTTTAAAACTAACAAAGGCTACATAATCTTTCATAGAGAATCCAACGTTTCCTCCTTTTCGCCTTCAAAGCTTTACCTCTATTTAGAAAACCTGCTCACCCCAGAACTGCAACTCACAAGCCATAACTGGTTATTTTTTCAAAAGCAAGCTACTTAAAGACTAACTTAATCGGCAAACCATGACATACTACTCTTCTCAGTCAGAGTACAAGTAGTACTAACACCACAAGCAGAAGGAAGAGATGTTTGAAGAGATGCGCAAGTATTTCAGTGATGACCTTCACTGACACCCACCAGCCTTGGCAAGGCAGAATATTTAAGTGTTACACTCGAGAGCATCCACAGTATTTGATCAACAGCCTTAACACTGATTCATCCTGATAGGCTCCTTTGCTGTTTAAAAATACAGCCTTTATTTAAATATTGTAATGTACCTTTAAATCTCTATGGATAATAGGAGGCTTCTGTGCATGCATGTGCTGCACTGCTCTGCAGGTCTGATAAAAGATCTTCAATACTGTATCACAGGAGACAGGTCCTTTGGATTCTACTTTCTTTAAGTATTCCACCAGCTGTCCTGCAGAATTTCAGAAAAATTCACATAAGCACACAAAGAACACCACAAATTTGGAAAGCTTGGCATGAACCGAAAAATGCTCTTCTCAAGGAAGATTTATAGTCTTGAGTATTAGATGAATATTCTGAAAATGGCAAATCCACACTGACTGCAATGCCACAGGAAATGGTGCTCTAAGACACTACTCCTCTTCTTCTTTCCTCTGACTAGTCTCACACAAAGAACTTAATGATTATATCTAAGACGACATTGACCTGTGGTCTCAAAGAACATGATCCTTATCCTATAAAACATGAGGCTGAACTCTAGCTCCACTGAACTACGCTACCTTTAAGAGGCTTTATAAGCTGTGAAGCAACCTCTGCAAAATAGCTGTCAGAAACAACATGCACTGCTAGAAAGAAAAATAAAGTTTACCTTTACACAGCTCTGTAAGCAGAAGAAACTCTCCCTGTTCCGTGTCTGATTCTTCTTTTCCTATAGATGCAGCAGAGCAGAACTGGACAATGTTGGGATGATCTGAAAGTTTTTTCTGGAGATAACATGTTCAAGGAAGATGACTGCCAAGTTATTGATACTATTGTACACAACAGTTCAGACATCTCATTTGAAATGTTAGCTTAAAACCACAGAAAGCATTACAGCTGCAATTAAAATACTAAGCAGAATAGGGAAATCCATGCCTCAGCTGAAAAAAACAACAGACTTCAAGGGAAGCCACTGAAGGTAAGACAGTAAAAAGTAAAAATAAAACATGAAAGAAATCATTGTGATTAAGGCTGTAAGGAAATCTGACTTCATAACAGTCTTAGTTACTTCTTTTTGTCTTTTGACAATGACTGCAAGTCCTTAGCACAAGTACCAGAGAGACCTTTTAATTATCAGCTGCTTCTCTAGCTGGCTGATCAATAAAGGACTATTGTATCAACACCTGTCTTTCCAAAGCAAGTATTAAGTCACATTATAATTTTAAGTCATTAAAATAGAATTCACAACAAATAAAAACTTTAAAATACTTAGGAACTTATCATCCCATCATTAGTAATCATTCTTCACACCCAAACATTTTGTCATGCTTCAGTTCCCAAGGTATCATTTTTGAACTAGGTAAAGGGGAGTAAAGTGTAACTAATCTCAACTCCTCCCAGGGGAAGCTACATTGCATTATGATTTATTTGTGTTGTTCCTGATGTGCATCACCTCAACCATACATTGGGACTCATGCCTACAAGACAAACATACCATTCACAAGATGCACTCACCAAGTCTGGAAAGCAAAAAGCAAAGTCATCACAAGTACAACAAAGCTATAAAAAAGGGCAAGTTGGATCCACCGAATTTGAATGAATCCCAAGTATATTTTATATTTTATGGACCTCTTCACAACCTTTTACTCAGACCTGCCGGAATTAATTTCATTTCACAGGTATATCTTGGAAAGTTACCAACAGTTAACTCTCATTCACATTGTACATATGCTTCAATGAGCCTGAGCTGTGAAAAAACATCCAAAGAACATTCACTTTACTCCTGGCAAGATGCACTTAGAGCAGCTAGAAAATGTACAGTGCTATGGTAGTCCGTTCTAAGTACACTTCTAGTGAACTGTGTTTAGCTTAAGATTTTGCCAAAAACATTTCAGTAATTGTAAAAAGAAATATTTTGAGTAGCTTAAGTTAACATCAGTGGTTTTGCCTAGTAACTCAAAATAAAGATGAATACTCCAAGTGGTAAACAAAACAACAGCATACCAGAGCTACTCTGACTCCTCAAACAAACTGAGAGTCTTATGGGAAATGCTGGGGAGTGAATATTTAGTTTGCTAAAGCTAAGGACTGAAAACACTGAGATTACGTTATAACCTATTAACTATCATTGAAGATAAGTATAGCAGCAACACTGAGAAACATCTGCTTCTTGTTTCTCACGCAGGTACTGTACCGAAATTCCTTCCTTAATATTCAATATTATTTTTTAAAGCCAGATGCATCTGAGGCAGAAATTAAGAACCTTGAGAGTAAAAGCAAAGTTCTGAGTAGTCACAAAGGTAATAAATCCAGCGCATGTGAGGGAAGTCTACTTAAGATCTAAGTATCATCTGAAGAGTCAAAAGGTCATTTGACAATAGCCACAGGACTGCAAGAAAGTCCAAATAAGAATTTCCCTTCTTGCTAGATGAAGTACACGAAAGTCTACACTAGCTACAAAAGTTACCTGCACACAAACTCCTGTAAATTTTGAAGAAATTAACTTGCTGGATACTGGTGCTAGATTCATGACAAACCAGGAGAATGTCAGTCCTCTTAAGCAGTGTATGGCATGGAAAAAATTGAATCTGTGGAGCAGTTTTCCACTTCTCAGAAACATCTGATATGAGGCAATCAAATTGAAACATTAAAATATGTTCCAGAAAAGGATACCATAAAACAAACTTCCTGAATGATGGCTTTGTTCTTTTCTTCTTCATTAGACAACAACCGCTGTCAGAAAACAGAGTAATTGAGAAGACAGTTATTAAAACATACAGAAAAACAGCGCACAGATTATTTTCCAGAACACAAAGGGTAAGCTACAATCAAAAACCTAAGAACTGTGACTGGACAGTAAATGAAGCAGGCATACTGCCACAAATACAGCACCTAGTTCTCTAGCTACCTGTACTGTTCAAGTGTAGTGATAACTGAGCAGTTGTAACTTTCGATGCTTGTTAAGTAACTGCTCTGACAGCTTTCTGTTGTATAAAACACTAAAGTTGCCTGGCTTACAGTGTTGTGCACTGACAAGGAAAGATTAATCTTCCACCTCAAATCTTTAGGAACAACCTTCAGTCAACTCCAACCAAAGCTTCTCCAAATTATGTAGCCCAACTTTTTCAATGGTACCAGAGTAATCCACAGCGAAATCAAGCATTACTACTTCCAATATTGCTTGGATTTGAAAGGAATATTTGACTAGAATCAATCTAAGCATTTGCTGCAGAAATACTAGTTCCACAAGACAGAAGGAGTATAGTAATGGTTCACCTTTTACATGCTGTTTGTAAATGGGGCTATCTCTAGATTACATTTTCAACAAACATACTGTATGTGTTTGGTCATGTTTTGCTACTGTAGGATGTGGCATGAACAGGAAAAATGAGACCAAGTAATTACTGGTGGTGTAATGCCACCTTAACTCTCCCACCTCTCACACTATTTTCACTTTCTCTTCACAATAGGTGTCTTCATACTGTTAGAGCCATAGAACACCCCTACTCAAAAAAATGAAGCCATTTTGTGGCAAGCACAAGCAACATCATTTTCATTTTGCAGCAAAATATGACAAAATACAAGACTTCACTTTATTGTCCTTTCCATAATACTTCAGTTTTTCAGCTATTACATGATTATTGTTCATAAAACCACAATCCAGACAAGTGTCTCTGAAAAGTGTCAGGCTCAATGTTTGATCAATGAGTGAAAGTGTGCAACATTATTTTTAATATTGATTAAACTTACACTTTTTAGTACAAAGATACTAAACTTACGCTTTTCAGAACAAAGGTAGGCTAATCAGTGCTAAATCTGCTTCTGAGGAGTGAAAAATATTCCCGTACCCCACTTCAGGTGACTAGGAAAGATTCTTTTTACCCATACAACAAAAGGCTTGGGTCAGGGTCATGAATTTCTAGACCAAATGAAGACACACAGCAGTAGTACCTAACAGAACAACTTCCATCTTTTGCATTGAAGTATAAAATGCACGGTCCTAAGAGGACCCAAAGAGGGTCCTACCAGTTCTAAACACTGGTACAGTGTGCTACAAACACCACTATCATTCTGGATTTTTCCAATTTACTTGTTCTGTGGCATACATCAAGAATTAACTGTCATGCTAAAGCATTAAGCAAAGAGACAGACCTTGTAAACCTGTACTTACCTTTAAAGCATAATCTTTGCCACTTCCAAGATCCTGAGCTTCATACACAAATGCAAAACCACCTACAAGAAGAAGGAACATTATGTCAGTTTTAATTTCAACAACTGTACCATTTAAAATTATAAAAAATTCAACTTCCTTCATCATTTTGGAACATCACAGCACATGTCACAGGTCACGCTATTCTCATATCAGTTTACCCTCTCATTGGAGTAGCATTATTAGACAGAACTGAGGAATGAGTTTCTGTAATTCACAGACCATCTTTGGCATCAGCAGTCTGTCTCAACAAATACTATAACAGCCCAGTGAGCAGCTTCTATTCATTCTACAATATAGGTGGAGATGAAGAAATTCCCTCTATTTACTTCCCCGTCATCTTTAAGTGTCACCATTAGCAGGTAAACAAGCATAAGGTCTATCAGAAGAGGCACTTCATTCAACAGGCAAAAATGAAAGCCAGCATTGACCAATGCCTGTCTCATCCTGGCAAGCGATAAGTCCCAACACCGCACGCCAGGTCAAGTGAGAGGCCCAAAAAGAGCAAGAGATTGAATTCAGAGTCCAAGAGAATTCCCAAAAAGAGAGAGCGCTGCAACTTCCTGATCAGCCCTCATCTGTGTACTGGGCACGAAGCTGCATGTCATGAAATATTCTATCAGCTAATTTGGTCCTTAATCCTAAATCTAAATTCAAATCATCAATTAGAAATTGCAAGCCCTTTGTCCCAGCCTTGCTCCCCCCAGTCTGTTGTGCCCCTGCACACTGGCAAAACGCGGAAAGTTGAAAAGTCCTTGCTGCTAAAAAGAAAAACTAACTCTGTCCCAGCCAAAACCAGCACAGTGAGATAGCTACATTTACCAGTATTTAAATACTAGGTACTCAATCAAAGACTATTTTACTGAAGAAAAATTGTGTGGAAGTCTGTGCACTTTACTGGATGACCCAAAAGAGCCATGATACCTGCTGAAGCCAGCACCACATTAAGGGCAAGTAGGGATTAAATGTAAAGGCCACAACTCTTCTCCTCTAAAATTTCTTAGCTTCACTGAGCTACTGAAGTGCCCACGAAGAAAATATGGAAGACTATATCCTAGGAGCAGTCAGTCCATCCCCTCACAAGTTGCTTTCAGCTTCCAGCAGCAGCGCACCATGTTTTCAATTAGCCAGGTCCTACTCCTAGCATGGCACCTCTGCAAACTGACCAGGGAAACACATCCAAACAAACCACGCAGCTAATGTCTCAACTTACAGCATGGCTAAACATGTGTTTGCAGCAGTTCTGACAGACAGCACACAACAGAGCAGGAGAGCGTTGCAGAATGCGAGAACAACTGAACTTACACTGCCATACGACACTGTGTAATGCTAATCCAGACTCTGCTCACACCAACTGGAAACAAAGCAGAACGTAGGGTCTTGCAGAAAAGGCTTACAGATCTTTCTGCATTGGCAGATCACACACAGTTCACCAATGTCATGGTTTGATGTGGGGGGAGAAGGCACCTAAACCACAACAACCATGGATTTGAAATCTAAATTCAGAAAGTAGCACTTGACTTTTGGCATGAAAGGACATGTTTAGAAGAACACGTATTCTGTATTTGTGAGCCTGAAAGTGAACGCACAGTTTATCAGAAGGTACTGAAGTATCATCTTTGCGGCCCTCCTCTGGACCCACTCCAGCAGGTCCATGCTCCTCCTATGCTGGAGGCCCCAGAGCTGAATGCAGTACTACAGGTGAGGTCTCACAAGAGCAGAGTAGAGAGGCAGAATAAATTTCTGCTGATTTCTAAGTAACTCACACACATCAAATGTAGTAGCTATTTCAAAGCAGCCTAGCAAATGGTATGCCAAAATGCCTACCTGGAAATTCACTGAAACTGAAAACTGCCCAGACATACTCCCGTATACGTTTAATTCCTGTACTCCAGCAAAACCTACATGCAGGGTGAGATCAGCCTACTGGCACTTATATTTAAACATACCATTTTCCTGTATTTCAGTTTTCCAAACATCCCAAAACATCACAGGCAAGCTTGCACCTTTGGCATAATACTATACCTTGTCAGTTTTTGAAAGTGTACATGCAGCCCAGCATTTTCATTAGGTCCTAAGTACATGATAAACGCCTTTGAGAGTTGTGTTACATGGCGAAAGTATTCTCAACCACAATAAAGGAGCGGCGGCACACCACGCCGGTTCTCCGCAGGGATTCCTACCGCGGGCTCACAACAGCAGCAGGAAGTGCCGCTCCTAC